AAACAGAGCATCACATGGCAGAGGATAGGCATCAAACACGCTGCCGCCTGTCCAGGTATTAGTTCCACAGCCAACATTGTGTCCACCAGAAATCCCTATTGTAACTCCACCCTTTTGTCTTCACTCGGGAAAGCTCATCAGAAAGTGAACAATGGTGACAATAAGACAGGGCTGACATGGAATCTGTTCTAATATATAGAAAAGGAAATCATTTCTAAAATTTGTTATTGCTATGGTCTCAATATTTCTGTGCACTCCTCCCATTCTAACTCTCAAGGTGATGGTACTAAGAGGTGGGTCCTTTGAGGGTCATTGAGGATGGAACCCTCATGAATGTGATTAGTGTCCTTAGAAAGGAGGCCCTAGACAGCATCCTGACCCTTCTACCACATGAGCACATAGCAAAATGGTGCCCTCTATAAGGAAGTAGGCTCTCTCGCAAGACACTGAATCTGGTGGGGCCATCATCTTGGACTTCCCAGCCTTCAGAACTGTGAGAAATAAATGCTTGTTGTTCATAAGCCACTTAGTTATGGTATTTTGTTAAGGTAGGTCTGTTATAATTGGCAATATCTTACTACCATCAAGGATTCTGGGCCAGACTACCTGGGCTTGAATCTCTGTTCTGCCCTCAGTAGCTGTGTGACTTAAATGATTTGGCCCTCAGTTTTCTCATCTGTGAAATGGTGAGAATAACAGCATATATGCTTCACTGAATTGTTGTAATGCACTTAGAATGGTGCACACAACAGTGCCAGATCAGTGATGGCTAAACGGAATGAACAAGCAAAATTCACACGGGATTGTGGCAACAAGATGCTACATCATCCTGAAAAGATGATGCAGACCACTGTCCTCCATCCTGAGAAACAGATTTCTCTTTAGGATCCTGAAATATTGATGATTTTTTATGGCATAAAATTATAATAATTTTATGGAACAAAACTGTAAATGGGACAATAAGCGAGTTTAATGAGTTTCCCTGGAAAGACACAGGATTTGGGGTTGGAAGGTCTGTTCTGAGTCTACAGCAAGACAGGGACCCTTGCAGAGCCTGTTTCCTTATCTGCAACATAAACATGACCTCACTTTTGCCTCCGTGTCCACTGGTCTGATTTGAGGACCCAGTAACTTATTGATATGAAACCATGCCTGATTTGCTACTGCTTCCACTGTCACTAACAACAATGAATTTATATATATGGCATTTTTCACCTTCTCACGGATTCCTTTGACATAGTACCAATACCTCGGTCTCTGAAAATAGGAACAGCTTTCAATACTGACTTATTCCCTGAAACATGCTAATAATAAAACAAAATGTACTCATATCAGGATTGGGATCAAGAATCCTTTGAAATTCAAGACAAGGTGTAAATTGCTGAAAAGGGTCTCTTTAATTGGGATCAAAACATTTTTGACAGCTTTTGGATTTTAAAATTCTAGCTATTGTCACGTTCTGCAAATGTTTCTTTTCTTGGTTTAAAAAAAAGTGCAGTCAAGCTTGAGCAGAAATACTTCAGATGTGATAAACAACTAAAATTGGACATTCCAAATGACAAAGACCCAGTTTTCCTTTTCTTTGATATTTAGGACAGAATACTTCACTTAGACTCTTACCCTGCACAATTCAATCGGTCCCCTGCTGGGCAATGACAAAGGTTTAAGAAATCTTTCCTGCTTGTAATCTCCAATGAAGGTTTTGTAAAACCTCTATTTATCTGAAGATAAGTCATACTGAAAGGAATTTATTTTAAGGGAGACAAAGAATCTTAAAAACAGTGTCATCACCTTAGATGTGACTTAGCTCAACACTTCATTTCTACTCAACTCCCACAATTTCCCTTCTTATGGTTCTTGCTTGAATATTCCCAGCCACCGTGAACTCACTTGCACAGAAGGCACTACACCTAACTGCTCAATAGCTCTGAGTGGTAGAAAATTCTTCTTACGCATAAACTGAAACTGCTTCCTAGAAACTCCTATCACCAGGTCTGATTCTATTCGTGAGTCACACAGAACAAATCACCACCTTCTACCAACACAACTCTTTGGAGAGATGAACACTATTAACACAGGGTGCCCTGCTCCCTGTCGTCTCCACTTCAGGCTGACACACGTTCAGTCTTCTCCACCAGCTTCCCCAGACTTGTGTTCAGGCACATTAACAAGGTGAGGATGCAAAAGCAGGCGCTACAGAGGCCCAACGTTAATCAAACAGAACCAGAGTGGACTAAGCCAGACAGACAACATTGAACTCTGCCTTCCATCTGATTCTCCACGAGGGATCTGACATTTTTTCCATTAGGCCAGATGGCTTTGGACTTAAATAATGCTTTTACTGTTGTTCTCTCTTTGTGTACAGCTAGAGAATCAAAACTAGTATTATAAGATTTGGTGATATCTTTCTTTGGGGACAACTTAGCTACCCTTGAGTGAGTTTTAGATAAATGTAAAGAATAAAACTACCTCACTTCATTAGTTAAACTGGGTGATTAGGACTTTTAATTAGCTGGGCACAGCCTCCTTGGTGGTGGGGTACATGATAGAATAGCAAGGCCTCAAAATATTCCCCCAAACGAGATAAAGCATCTGATATTCTGCCTCACTCCTGTCCCTTTGGTTAGGCCAGTTGTCATGGTGGTGGGTAGGGAGACTAAAGATGATGACCTAAGATCGCAGCATACGAATCACTGTGAAACCCTCTCGTGCTTGATCTGTATTACTTTACTCCCTCCCACAAAGGATGCTAAGGACTCCATATCCTCCACGTTTCTCCAAGCCCAAAGCTCTCTGCCTCCTGTGTGTACCCAGGATCCCATGAGGCCACGTGTGTGTTAAGAAATTTTGGCTCAGCATAGTTTCCCATTCCCCAACTGCCCTAGTCTCCTTTACCAGGATATACTTTGATTTGCTTTATCCTTTTTAAAATGTGTGGTTCAAAACTGAGCATAGGTGTCCCATCTATAGTCTCCCCAGGAAAAGGAAAACCATATTTTCCGGAAGATAGGAGAGGCTACATTAGGCTCCTAATCTTGCAGCATTCAAACTCCTTCACTACTGATGCTAATATCTTCATTCTCACCTCCCTTCTACTGAGGCAGCCCAGGTAGGCAGCCCCACCTTTCTCTCTCTCTGGAAGTCAATTGTGTTGAGTTTTGACTCATGTCAGCTGGAGGCTAAATCCCAGTTCTGCCTCCTCCATGCTAGTGAACTTAGGAAAGCCACTTATACTGAGAGAGAACCTGCAATGCTGTTAAGTGAAAAGACTCGTGAGCTAGACTGCCCGGGTTCAAATCCTGTCTCCACAGCCACTTGCTTTCTGCTAGTTAATAAACTTTTCTCTCTTCAATACCTTCAACTATGAAAAGGAGGTAACATTATGCCCTACATCATAGGGTTACCGTGAGGATTAAATGGGTGGGTACTTACAAAGGACTGACAACAACGCGTGGCACATATTATGTGCTTGATGAAGGACCTATTGTTACGATTATCTCAAAGGGCTTGGTGAGGAGAAAACTGAATAATGTGTGTAAAGTGACTAATATGGATCTAGTATATAGCATGTTCTCAATAAACTGAAATTATTATCATCAGTTATTTTTATTGTGGTAAATATACATAACATAAAATTTGCCACTTTAACCATTCTTAAGAGGCATAAAGCACATTCTCCTGGTGGTGTGACCATTGCAGCCTTCCATCAGCACTGCTGTCTTCTTCCCAAACTTAAACTCTGTCCCCAGTTAACACTAACTCTTCACTGCCCGGCCTGGGGCCCTGGCAACCACCATTCTACTTTCTGTCTCTGAACTGGATTCCTCTGGACACCTCAGATAAGTAGACTCCTTCAGAATTTATCTTCTTGTGACTCGCTCATTTCACTTTGAAAAATGTCCTCAAGGTTCATCCATGTTGTAGCATATGCAGAACTTCCCTCCTTTCGTTGCTGAACATTATCCCATTGTCTGCATATACACATTTGGCTTGTCTGTTCATCCATGGGAGGACCCTGGGGTGCTTCTACCATTTAGCTATTGTGAATAAAGCTGCTACGAACATGGGTGTGCCCTTATCTGTCCTATGACTAGTTATTCAGGAGTAACTTTTCTTCAGGAAGACCCATTTTCACTGTTAAATCATCACCCTACTACTGACATTTTATCCTAGTATGAGTCAGAACAAAGGGGAGAAAAAAATAATGCAAAATGACAAAGGTTAATTAACTTGGCAAGTAGAGTATTGTTTATACAGTGCTTGATAAATTACCTTGTGAAGTTCAGTGGAGGCGAATACATGAGTAAAAGGACAAATATGTCCATTTGACGCTCGCCCTCTCAACGGAACAGGTCACAGACTATTTTTCTGTTTTTCCCTTACCATCAATACACAGGACCCACAATGTCAGACAAGCCCTGGGGATGAACCTGGGAGCTAATTGCCTCTGGGAGGCTGATGAAAACACAAAACTATGTCTTTGGTTCGTTCAACAAACATATTAGTGCTTACATTTCCTGGGCATGCAGTGATAGATTTTTTTTAAAAAAGATGGAAAACTCCATTTATTCTTTTTGATTGCAGCAACTACAAGGTTCCACAGGTTAAACTCAAGAGAGTCTGGATGCTTTGACCGAGTCAAAAGAGCCCTATGTGTCTCCCTCTAGGACGCATGTCGTTAAAGCTGCCAACACACAAAGAAATTCAACTTAAACCGTCACATTGCCCACCGCTCCTCAAAGCTCATCAATCTCCCATTAGATTCCCGGGACCGGGTGACACTTTTATCACAATTACACGCTAAGAAACATGGTGCAGCTGCACTGTGGCCAAGTCCGGGAAGAGCCCCCCTTTGATGGACGATCACAGTTGATCAAGTTTGTCAGCTGCTTTATGTGTTTTTATGCTCGTTTGATATTCCTGCCCAGCGCCGACAGGCTTTTAAGGGCACATCTGTCAATGGATTCAATTGCACAATGCCATGTGCTTCTTTTACTTACCCCTGTCTTCTCATCAAAGATTTTGATTCCTCCAAAGGAGATGGTTAAAAAGATTTTCTGTTTGTGTTCTCCTTTGGAACGAGCGCCAGCCACAACGCCCTGTTGAAAGGAAAGACATGGGTTTTACTTTAGTGTTTTCATTTGAAAATACCCTCTGGTCCCAAAGGCGTGTCAGATACCATTGGTGGTGCCACCAATCAGGCACGCGCCTTTCTCTCTGCTCCTTCAGGTTTCCCTGCTCCATGAGCTTGCATCTGCTCGACGTTGTCAGGGAACACTTATCCTCGCTGTTCGAACACTGTATAAATAGATATCTGAGCACCGACTCATGTGGCTAACCAAGATTTATAGAATGCCTACTCTGTGCCTAGGTACTCGGCTCAGAATTTGAGATCCCGAGAGACATACAATATGGTCTTCTTATTAATAGCTTTGCTGGGTTTTGCATTGCGTATGGTTTTAATCTATTCAATAAAGGTGAGTCATGGAATAGATTCTTAAATATGATTTTATTTTTATTATGCGTCTGGGGAAACTTTTCATATGAATCAATTTAGAGAACATTAAGAAAATAAAAATTATTGCCAAATTATTGCATGTCTCAATTTTTGCTTGGAAAAATAGGATGATCATAGTTTATGCCTATGGTTTGTAACATTTACCCACAGGCATTTTGTATGTCCCCCCACTCTTTTTCCTATCATTCCTGGGTATTCAAATAAAGTACTTACTTACTCAAAGTATTCCATTTATCAAAACATCTGTTTCCACACATTCTCAAATGTTTTATAAACTAAAGGTATGTATATGAGTCAATTAGAAGACAAATGTCATAAAAGGTAGGGGAACTGCTCTGCTTTCTGCTCTCTCCCAGGTGCCCAGCACAGTCCTAGAGGGCAGGGGCGTCTCCGTAAATTATTGTTCCATGAACGTTCTATCCTCAGTTTCCCAAAGTCGATATGATGCAAGTTAAGAGTAAAGACACTTGCTTTTTAAACTGCCTCAATGGTGGCCAAGTATAGGTAAGTATGGGTTTCATACTAGGCGACGACTTGGAGGGTAAGGACACATCTAGGGATTTGCACTCAAGGACTGCTGGGGATTCTGCCTTAAGCATTTCGAGGCTTCCAGCCCCTTCAGAACCATTAGCCTCTGCAGAGGGTGAGATGAAGCCTGACTCGCAGCAGTTGTGGTTTTGGACTTTTAGGCGTAGTAAAGTCTAAAATAGTACTGATTTCATATTTCCAGGAGATAAAAGTTGTCCATGCTGTTCTCAGAAGAACAAATGGTCAACATCAGTCTCTGAGAACAACTAAGGTTAGAGAGCAATCTACACAATCAGAAGGCACAGGAAGGGGTGTTCATTCTCTTGGGGTTGTTTGATCATCCTCATGCTGGGTATTAAAAATACTCAGAACATCTGGAGTATACTCCTAGCTCTCTGTGATCTCGGACCAATTACTTGCCTCTCAGTTCCACTTCCCCAAGTGTAAATACCTCTCTGGCATGGTTGAGAGAATTAAATAACATTTTATTTCAAGTTCCTAGCCCCATATCTGGTACATTGCAGGAATGTAAAAAAAAATAACTTCTAGTAAATGAATGATTGTCCCTTAAAACTTATGTTCCAGTTACTGTTTAGGTGCCTACAAGTAGAAATTTCACTACCTGGGAAGTTGCCCACTCATTCTTAAGTGCCTCTTACTCTACACACAGATGTGCAGAATATTAGAGCCAGAGAAAACCTTAAAACTAATCAGTCTCAATTTCCCAACTGACAGATTGACAGATGAGAAAATGATGCCTAGAAAGTCCAGAGATGGCAGAGTTGGGGCGGGAGGTGGGGGGTGGGGGGTGGGGGGTGGGAGGAAGCTGATACTATACAACTGAGCTCTCAAGTCTCTTGACGCAGGGAGAAGATATATTTCTTTATGTTGTGTCTTTTTTCTAGTAAGCTGACACATTCCTATAACCCTACCCAGGGTTCCTCCTTCAGCGTCTGGGACTGCTACATGCTGACATAAGATTCCACCTCCAATGACTATTCAGTAAATAGGTAAAGAGAGGGACTCATCCCCAAAGCTAAGTCCTCTGTCTCTTTAACACCCATGTCCTAGTCAAAGGTCCCTGAATTCCTCACCACACTGCTTGCTTTCCCATTAATTTACTGAGGAATGAGTTTAAGGACCTGGGAGAATGGTCAAAGTTCGTGTCTTTGCAGTCCCAGGGGAATCCTATTTCTGTCTGATGCCACTCCATCAGAGACACGGTCTCTGACCCCTCCACCCTCCACCCCGCCAAACTTTGTCTCATTCTTTCCCCCGGTGTCTCTTCCTAGTGGCTCTTACCACCATCTGAGATATGTATTCATTTGCTGACTGGATGCCTTTGCCCAACAGAACAAAAGCTCAACTGTTCATGAAACTTGGTTTTGTTCATTCTACGTGCCCAGTGTCGGGACCAGAGCCTGGAATAAAGCGGGCACTCAAAAGGGTGAAGCGACTGCCCTTCGCTCCGGCAATGAACAAGCCAGGCTTTGAACTCAGGAAAATCTGACTTTGAAAAGTGTGTTCTTGGGTAGATTTGGAGTAAAATAACTTATGCTGCCAGCCCTCTACTGCCTAACCTTCAACCTCAAGTAGCCAGACTTACACAAAGCGAGAACAGGAAGTAGCCCCATCATAAATGGAAGGACTGGAAGGGCAGTGTCAAAGGGAGGGGAGCCCCTCCTGCTTGTTTAACCCCTTCCTAGGTGAGGATATCGCAGGACGGAGGGCGGAGAGGGCTACACCTTGGGTCAGGAAGATTAGCTTCAATGTGTCTCTCTAAAACAGTCCTCACAGTCCCTAGCACTTAGAATTACTGCCACATCAAGCAGCAACAATGCCCGGCACACAGCAGTGCTGGCTGGGTACTGCTTCCCTTCACCTCCTGTTCCACTTAGCTATCAACCAACACCCTGGTAGAATAGGGTGGGACACAAAGAAGGTGGGCAGAGCAGGCATACATGTTCCAGGAGCATTTCTGTCTGGGGCCGCTGGCGGTCGCTTTACGTGACAAATGAAAGCAAGAAGGACTATCCACGTGATGCTGTCTTTGGGAAAATAAAACTCCAAATTTATTGAACACGTTTCTCCTATGAGACAAGACCCTGAGTCAAACTCTGAAAAATTGCCCTAAGTCCCAGCACGTCCACCACCAGACAGCACATGCTGCCTCTGGGTCTCATCTCCCCAGGATGATTCACTGCTGCTCCGTGGAACTCACGGAGGTCCCGGGACAGCTCTGGCTGGAGAGTCCAAAGATATGGAAGTAGGTGCCTTTACGGGCTCTGTGCCTAGGATTAGCTGCCTGACCTAGGAAGTCACAGCTGGAAACCTGGAAATTAGGGTGTCAAACATTTTCCTGGGCACCCACTATGTAGAAGTTCTCTGATGTGCTATATAATATAGCCCATACGACAATCCTGGGCTGAAAGAATGACCTCCCTTATTTCATATCTGAGGAAACATAGGTCGGAGGGTCAGGTGACCACCCCCAAACCTCAAGGAACATACAAGACCTAGAGAATTCAGTGATTTTTCAGATTCCAGTATTGGAGTTCCTTCTGTGAGAACACTCTATAAGGGACGTGAGGAGAAGCACAGATGAAATAAATGGACTACACAATATACTACAGGTATGTCAAAAATGTTCTGAAAATAGGTAGGTGGAGCCACCTGCAACCAGACTCAGCTGTGAAGGAGAACTCTGACATGAGACTAATCCCCTTCTAGCCTCATAAGGATGCTGGAGCATTTAAGTGAGTATGCACATCAGCACTTCGCAAGGTGTGGAGGGAGAGCTCAGCAACTACGTTACCAGTATCATTAGTACTAATATTGATAATAGCAAGCAATCCCATGTGCTAAGCTTAAAATCTAGGAGGGGAACCAAGATAGATTAAATGCAGATCAAAAGAAAATATTATTGCCCTCGCTGGTTTGGCTCAGTGGATAGAGTGTAGGCCTGAGGACTGAAGGGTCCCGGGTTCAATTCCAGTCAAGGGTACATGCTCGGGTTGTGGGCTCAATCCTTGGTAGGGGGTGTGCAGGAGGCGGCCAATCAGTGATTCTCTCTCATCATTGATGTTTCTATCTCTCACTCCCTCTCCCTTCCTCTCTGAAATTAATTTAAACACACACACACACACACACACACACACACATAGCCTTACACTATGTTTTGTCAAACACTAGGCTTTTGAAGATCTGCATTTGAATTCTGGGCTAAATGAAGGTTAAATGCTGGGCTAAATGAAGGTTAAATGAAGGTTCTGGACCAAATCCTTTAATGTCCACGAACCTTAGATTTCTTACTGGGAGGCTCAATCTCACATGATCAAGAGATAATGTATACTGAGGTACTTTGCTGCCCCTAAAATTAAAAGATGATGATGACAGTGATTTGTTGGTAGACAGGCGATGGCTCACTCAGACTCACAGTGTGAACCCCGTCTCAAATCTCTCACATCCAAGAAAAAACTCTACAACAAGGAAAGGCACAAGCTTCAGAGAGCCTAGCAAAGAAAGCCAGAATTATTTTCATTGCTCATATGGTCTACCGTGAACAAGTGGGCCCTTTGCAATGCTAAGAGGCATTTTGTACTTCTCTGTCTCTCTCTTTCCTGGGCAGGTGGCCAAAGGACGACTCGATCGTTTATGTTTCTGCGTTTCCCCAAGAAAGACCACGGGGACTGAAATGTCAACATTCTTCTTGGCAACTTGCAAATAATGAAACACGATTGTCATGAATCAAAACCCCTCAAGTTCAGCAGATCTGAAAGGAGTGTGGGACAAATTCTCAGTAGGCCAAATTCTCAGGGCTTTGGGAGCCCCTCTGCTATGAAGGTTTACGGATGGGACATTTTGAAAAAATTCACAAAAAACAGAAAAAACAGATGGGACACTTCATTGCAGATAACAAACACACACACACACACACACACACACACACATGCAAGGTCAGCAGTCATCACCAGGTCTGATCCAGTTAATGTGGCCTACATTACGTGACCCTTCAGGGAGCATAAGTGGACTCCTGCCTCATGTCCACATTGGCCTTGGTGCTTCCATGAAGGCGACTGGCCAATGAGGCGCTCTGTGATAGATGCCTGCTGAGTGGCTATCTACCAGGATGCTGAAGATGGGGATATGGGGAGAGATGCATCAGATCCTTTCTCATCAGCAGATTGTGGCTCTGGGTGGGAACCAGGTCATGGGAGATCTTGATGTCTTTTAATCAACATTTTCCAGGAGCAAATCTCTATTTGCCTGGCCTCAAACTCAGTAAGGAGGGACTTTGGCAAGAATCAACATCCTGGCCTTTCTCTCCACCTTGCATTAGGGTCTCTGTGGGAAGCAGGTGTGGCTCTACCTGATTGGGGAGTTTGGAGAGAAGCTGAGCACTCATGGCTCAGTCTCTCCTGGGTTCTCTCTGCAAGCTGCCTGCTGGTAGTGAGGTTGCATTCTGGTCTGATCTCATATGTGAGTCCAGGTCCTGCTCTGGAGCAGGAAAGGGGATGAGGAGAATAGGGAGGGTTGCGGTTGTCCAATTCCCCATAAATCAAGTGGGATAGCCTGTCTCTTTCAAGGATACCCACTATGCCTGTGTATCTACATCATGTTTTCTAGAGCAGCACTTATCAGTTATAAAGCTGGAATTTAGAATTCATCCTTTCAGATTCCTTTGTCTATTTGTCAATCAGATTTGAACTTGGCAGAAAAAGAGGGCTCATTGTTGGACTTCCCTCAAAGCTCAGAACATCGTTTAATTATCAAAAAGGATACATTAACCTCTTCCAAGGTGATAACCTGTGAAATCACAATTTGGATGTCTTTTATGTCTATTTTTTAGTACACCTTACAATAAATAGACACATAATTGTTCACATAAAGTTTGCTTATGTGACAGCAAAAAACAAAAATAAAAAGAAAGTAATGGATACATAGTTTAGAAAATTAAAAGGTTTTAAAAATGATGATTCCTATAGTCATACTTTAGGGAGACTTAGCATCAGATATACATGTCAAACTGCTGAGAAAATCTTATAGTATAAACTAACAGCTGTGATTTATTAAGCAAATATTAAAGAAAAGGGTTTTGCAAATACTGTCCCATTTAATACTTTTAGGCATTGGTCAGATTTTTTTAAATTCTTTTTTTCTTACATTAAAAAAAAATTATACTGACCAAGCTATATCCTCAGTGACAATTTGAAGATAATTTTAAAAGTGCTCATAACATATTATTATCAGATGAGAAAAAAGCAGAATATACAGTTGTATAGTTATTCTAATTATATTAAACATTGTGTATATTTCATATAATGTATATAAAAATACAAAGAGATTATAAATCACACACTTTTAAAATGCTGACACTAATTTTCTTTGTGTGGTGGGATTGAGGATGATTTCAATTTTCCTCCTTATACTTTTCTGTATTTTGAAAATATTTTATAACATTTTGTGAATTCTATAATCAGTAAAGTCATATGTTTTAAATGCATAAGATATTTTACAGAGTTGTTGCTAAACCATTTTATTTTTATGTATTTATTATTATTATTTTTTTTAAATCCTCACTGGAGGATATTTTTCCATTGATTTTTAGAGAGAGTGGAAGAGAGGGGGAAAGACAGAGAAACATGGATGTGAGAGAAACACATCCATTGGTTGCCTCCTGCAAGATCCCAGACCAGGGCCCATCTGGGGAGGAGCTCACAACCCAGGTATGTTCCTTTGACCTGAATCGAACCTGGGACCTTTTGGTCTGTAGGCCGACACTCTATCCACTGAGCCAAACCATTTAATTTTAAAACTATTTTATATTACTAAAAAACAACAACAACAACAAAACTTGGAGACCACAATCTAGGAACAAAAAATTTTCTTTTTGTATGTTTTTAAGAGACCTTTAAATATGACAATTTTTTAATTTTGCTTATTAAATTTTTTCCAGTGTCTTTGCATTTCAATGAAAAAGATTCTTTAAAGCATTTAAAATAAGAAACCTCTTTATGATATCTCCATATTCCAATATCTGGTTACATATTACTTAAAAAATATTTTCCCTTATTATTAAGTATTTGAGGGTGTTGATATTAGTTACAAAAATGAATAAAATCATCTTTTATCTTAACACTAGAGGCCTGATGCATGAAATTCGTGCAAGAGTAGGCCTTCCTTCCCCCAATTGCCGGCACCAGCTTCCCTCTGGCACCCGGGACCCGGGCTTCCCTCACAGCCCTGACTTCGTCCAGAAGGTCATCCAGAATGATGCCTGGTTTAATTAGCATATTACCCTTTTATTATTATGGATAGCATCTTTTACCATATTTATCATATAGTAAAATCTATAAATTTCATTAAAATACAGTGGTGAAAATTTATAAAATCTGAGGTACTATACAATTTGATGATTTTACTTTTATTTTTTGCAGGCATTGCATGAATAAGATATAAATGAATAAAATGTGAAAATCAAATAATAAAACAGGGCCAAGTAAAATGCTTCCACATAGGAGGTGCTCAATGAACTTTTGCTGAATGAGTGAAATCTCTTCAAAATGAGTAAAGGCAGCGATTCATCAGTGACTCAACAAATGAGTAAATAATTTATCGATAAATGAGTAAATAACATTTTTACCATAATGACTGTGCAATCATTTCTTTCTCTCAGCCATATTAAACCCATAATATTTAAAGTAAAATGTTTGCACCGCACCTTGAGCTTCATCATGGAATCTTGACATAACTTGTCTCCCCGAGCTGCTGAAACCTCGTCGATCCCGATCAGTTTGGCCTTGTACCGGACCCCTTCACCTTTAAACCTCTTTATCAGAGTGGCTTCGCTGCGATCCTGACCTAAAAACAGAGGAAAGCAGGATTCAGAGACGGAGGCATTCAGGGCCTGTTGGCTTTGAATACCCACAGCACCGAAGTTGGCTCTCTTGCTTCACTGTGTTCTAGGAAAGTCAAACAGTAGACCAAGTAGAAAAAACATGGCAGTACTCCTGGACGCAAATTTTGGCTCCCCTTTCAAACCCTGGGGCAAACTGCTTCTGCTCTCTCAGCCTTTGTTTTCTCAGACAGAAAAAAAGGAGTTAAGAATAACCAACCCCAAAAGGGCATTGAGGTAAATATATCAGGCAACATGTGTAAAGTACCCAATGCAGTGTTTGCTACACACTAGGTTTTCAATAAAGGATAATCACCCACTGACATTCTTAGCACTGAGCTCCGATAGCATTTCTAGCATTTAATATGACTTTGGCCAGAATCCAAGATCCTCCTTATACCCAATTCCATGGGTTGTTTTATAGTGAGACTCCAGAGTAATTGCTTTGTATCAAGTAATGACCCACGACAATTATAAAAAAAATGGTTTTACAATCTCTCTTCTGCCAACCCATGTGTGTACTAAAATAGACTTTCACACTACTTGATATGGAAGTAGTGTGGAAGTCTACAGGCTTGCAATAGGCTTTCCCAATAACATACTATTATTAACATAATATTTTGCTAAGACACATCAGCCAGAAGTTTAAACATGTCCACATAAAATATGAGCAGTAAAGTAACTGTGAACTGAGTACTTATGCATATAACATGTTTTATAAACTGTATCCCCATTCTTCACAATAAGCCAACCATATCCATTTCCCAGATGATCAAGATGAAGGTCAGAGAATCCAGGTAGCCTATCCAAGTTTACATAGTCAGAAAAAATATGACCACATAGGAATTCAAAATTCTAACCTCATCAAACTTGCATCAAACTAATCACAGTTTAAGGCATTGCAAACTGCTCTTTATCTCCTGAAACATCATCAATTTCAACTTCTAATACCCCTCTCTCATGCTCATGCCTTCCCTCAATAGTCAGACACTTAGAGCTGAAGGCATTAATGATAACTCAGCCCATTTCGCTCTATGTATCCATATGATGTGCAAAACTAAGGCACTTCCATAAGGCTGGGTTGAAAATTATTTGAGAAAATGCTTAAAAGAGGGGAAAAACCCACACACAGCAGCAATAGCTAACCATTGTACAATACTTTTCAATAGACAAAACATGACTTGCATTTCATTCATTCATCTCTCACTGAGCATCTTTGTGCCAGATGCTATTACTCACTGACGACAGGTACCAGTAAATGAGACAAAGTCTATGCCCATGGAAGCTCAAGTTTCTGGTGACTGTAAGTAAAAATGCATTGTGCTGGGTATGTAAGAAGGTACACACTCTAGAGTCAGACATCCTCATTTAAACCATGACTCTCTCCCTTGCAAACCAACTAACCTATCTGCTGAGCCTCAATTTCCTTGCCTGTTGCATGATTAAATTTCTATTTCCAGAGTTGTTATGAATAGTAACTTAAATGAGATGGTAGCGCAAAGCATGTATTCAGGTGTTAAGTTTTCTATCACAGGTAGCTGCCACCAGTTTGGAGGCCCAGTAAAAGGAGCATGTGGAAGATTCCCTATGAGGGCAGAAGAGCACAAAGGAGGAAGGTCTGCAGGCCAGGCCTGACCTATGATCCCCAACCCCCAGTTGGTGTTTTTCCCACTGCATCTTCGCTGACTCCTAGCATATTCTAGCCTTTGAATAATATTCCATAAAGCAAATATAACACATGAATGATTAGTGAGAAATTGTAATCAATGTAAAAATTAAGTCTCCAGGGTTTCAGTGAGGGCAGATGTCAGAGACTGAAGCTACGAACAAAGAGGAGAACATTTGCCATGATATACCCTCTATGGACATCTAGCTAAACAACAGGGCCCGTGGTACTACAGGTCACCTCCCCCTGTCTCTTACCCTTTAAGACAGCATCAATGGACCTGGAGAGTATTATGCTAAGTGAAATAAGCCAGTCAGAGGAAGACAAGTATCACATTATCTCACTTACATGTGGAATCTAATGAACAATATATGTGCACCAACTTGTTTAGTCCCCCCAAAAAATCTTAGAGGTGGGTACGATTATTCAGGTTTTACAGATTAAGCAACTTGTACAAATTCACTAAGTGGGACCTGATTCCAGACCTATTTGGAGCCCACACTTGTGGTTTTGCTTGTGTTCAGTGTTTTCAAGCCCTTTCTCTTAGTGACTATGATGAAAATTTTCTCATCTCCCCAACTTCCTATAAAGCCCCATCTTTTGCCTGGCCCAAAACGGTTGATACTCAGTACACTGGCAGCTTTAAAACGCCATTGGAAAGCCCTGGTCAGTGTAGTTCAGTGGGTAGAGCATCAGCCTGAGCACCCAAGGGTCAGAGATTGGATTCCCAATCAAGGGCACATACCTGGGTTGCAAATTCGATTGGGAGGCAACCGATCAATGTGTATGTCTCACATCAATGTGTCTCTCCCTCTCTTTCTCTCTGTGTTTCTCTCTCTGTCTCTGTCTCTCTCTCCCCCTCCCTCCCTACCGCCCTTCCACTCTCTCTAAAAATCAATGGAAAATTATCCTCACATGAGGATTAACAACAACAACAAAAACTTCATTGGAAAAACAGCTTAAAAATGGAACAGTTTCCAGCCTGCACGTCATGTCTAAAAACTGCCCATGAGTCAGACACAAAGGCAGCCGCAGGAAACATTTGTCAGGGCTGGAGCTCTGCCAAGGAGGAGGCTTCATAAGCGGAGGCAGAGCCAGATCAGGTGAATAAGGGCAGAGATTAATAAGAAAATATTAGGCCATTTAGAGGAAAGTAGGGAACCCAATTTAGATTAGGACCCAGGGCCAAGCTAATTTGTATGAAGGGCACTTATGCACTAGATAATCCAGTTTCTCATTAAATACTCCACCATTAAAAGGGTAATTTTTCATGATCACATCTTGAGCAAGGTCTCAGTTATATTAGTTAAGAAATAAATAACAGCTATCAGAGCCATAAGGCCGTACCATCAGAGGCACAACCTATTTGAGGGTGTTAGAGAGAGGGTCCGTTTTTCATGCGTCCCAAGTCAGCATGAATCCCCAACTTATTTCACTGAAAGCCCCACTGACCCTTTGCTTCAGGATGGACAAGAGAAAGGCCACATATTTAAAGAAAAACATTAACATCATCGCTAGCTATTATCAAGCATGGACTAAGAGTTTTACCTACAGTCTGCCATTTAATCCTTATATTGCTCTTTGAGCTAGACACTGTAATGAGCCTTGATTACAGGGGATGACACCAACACTCAACATCAACAGCACAGCCTGATTTTTTTAAATAACTGCTTTATTGACATACTAGAGGCCCGGTGCATGAAATTCATGCATGGTGGGGGTGGGGAGGGTCCCCTTAGCCCAGCCTACACCCTCTCCAATCCAGGACCCCTCAGGAGATGTCCAACTGCCAGTTTAGGCCCAATCCTGGGGATCAGGCCTAAACCGTCAGTCAGGCATCCCTCTCACAATCCTGGACCGCTGGCTCCTAACCGCTCACCTGCCTGCCTACCTGATCGCCCCTAACTGACCCCCCTGCCAGCCTGATCATCCCTAACCGCCTCTGCCTGCTGGCCTGATCACCCACTACACCCCCCCCGCCAGACTGGCTTCCCCCAACTGCCCCCACGCCAGCCTGGTCGCCCCACACAGCCTGTTTGGTCGTCCATTCGGTTGTGATGGTGCTAGGCTTTTATATAGATAGATAACTCCCATCCCAATTCAATTCTCCTTTTTAAAGTATACAATTCAGTGGTTTTAGTACATTCATAGTTTTACAACTATCACTACTAGCTAATTTCATAATCCCCAAAAGAAGCACTGTATCCCTTAGCAAGTGCTCCCTATCTCCCCCAAACCCACCAGACCTAGGCAACTACTAGTCTATGTTCTTTCTCCATAAAAGTGCCTATTGTAGGGGCAAATTGTATTTCATATAAATAGGGTCATACAACATGTAGACCTCAACATCTCATTTTCAAGGCTACTGCACGTTATAGCATGTATTCCAACCTCAAGTCCTTTTTTATGCTGAATAATGTTTCATTGTATGGATATACCACATCAATTAATGGACATTTAGCTTGTTTCTACCTTTTGACTATTATGAATAATGCAGCTACAAACATTTGTGTATCAGTGTTTGTTGGGGTGTATTTTTCAATTCTTTTTGTATTATACACATGAGGGAAATTGTTGGTAACTCCATGGTTACTTTTTAGGACATACCAACCGTTCTTCCAAAGTGGCCCTACCAGCTTACAACTTCACCTGCCAAGTAGGCAGGTTTCCATTTCTCTACCAGGTGTTCTTGCCAACACCCCTTTCTGTCTTCCCTGCTTTAGCTATCCTATGGGTCTTAGGTGACATTTCATCAGGGTTTTCATTGCATTCTCCTGAGGACAATTGCTATTGAGCATCTTCTCATGTGCTTCTTGTTCATTTGCATAACTTCTCTGGGGAAATGTCTATTCAACTCCCACAGCCGGAATTTGAATCCAAGTGTTATGCAAACTTCCATGCTTTTAACCATCATGCTTTCAGCCATTAGGCCACGGGGCCTCTGGTGACCTCACTAGATACTCTGCTATAGCATTTGCCACTCTTCACCTTGTGTCACAGTTATGTGAGCAGATGTCTTATGGACGAGCAGGCACATCCCATTTTCAGAAAGGGTCTCCTTGAAGCTTCACTGCCACCTTGGTGACAAAGCTGACACCCATTCAGAAGAGGAAGGGACTGGGGCACAGGGAGGTGAGGCCACTGGGGCAAGGCCACGCTGCTAGTAAGCGGGGTGCAGTTGCCTGACTCTTTGGAGTCAGAAGGTGTTGCAGTAGCTCTTGGACTTCGTGTGTGTGTGTGTGTGAGAGAGAGAGAGAGAGAGAGAGAGAGAGAGAGAGAGAGAGAGAGATTGGGAAAGTC